GGAGATCTTCAACCCCCGCCTGGACGCTGTCCTGTGCCCCCTGCTCTGGGTGAGCCTGCTTGGGCAGGGGGTTTGGAGTGGATGATCTTCTGAGGTCCCTTCCAACCCTTGTCATTCTGTGATTCCATGTGTAATCCATCACGTGCAAAGCAGCCATGCACTGCATAAATGCAAGTGAAACCCTCTCTCCTGTGCTACAGCACTTTGCCTTGCAGAGTTCTGCGAGCTACCCAGAGCGTCAGACGCTGGCAGAGACAGGGCCTGTTGAGCAGTGTTAAAAAGTTCAGTGCTGTTACTGCTGCTTATCCGGGAGGGAATAACGGAGAGGGGGTTGAAGGCAGCAGGATCAGCCATGGAACTTTTTGCACAGAAGCAGATTTCCATGAAATACTCCATCTTTTTGCTTTTAAGACACAGCCTGAGGTTTCTTCTTTTTGAAGTCCTATTTTAACAACGCACATCTAAACCTGCATAGGAAATCAGCTAAGTCAGGCTTCCTCGGGGGAGTAACCCAGCAAAGTGGCTGTGCTGTACAGAAATCCAAGCCACATGAAAAGTGACCAGGGGACGCAGTGCCAGCGTGCCCAGGTGCCGTGTCCATGGGCTGGGGTCTCCCCGCTTTCATTCCCCAGCCAATGAAACCGCAGTGGATGTGAAATTCCTCTGTACGCTACATTTCTGTGCTCAAATTCCTAACGGGACTGCTGCCCACCGCCATGAAGCGTACGGCTGGAGCCAAGAGCTCTCATTTCCAGTCCCTCCATCAGAGCAGGAGAGACTCTGCCCTGCCCACAGCCTAACCCAACACAAGAGCAGCATTTCTAGGGCTATTTGAAATTCTGTTGGATTAAGATCTAGCAGGAGCTAAGATCCAAACTTTCCACAAAAGCTAGCGCAAGCATGTGAAGAAAGATGAGCAAAGGCAGGGCAGGGGAGTCCGTACTCACCTATTAGTGAATTCAGAGAGGAGTAAGAGCTGACTCGTCTCATCTTGTCGATGGTCTCGAACGACAGGATGTACTCTTCGTTCTCAGGGCTGCCCAGGGTGCTGCTAGCGCTGCTGCTGGTGCTGAGATTCCCAGGAGAAAACGCAACAGAGCTTCCAGCTGCCAAAAGAAAAGGAGGCAGATGCTGAAACAAGAACTGGCGAGAGAACAGTTTTTACCCAGAGGTGACAGCCCTTCTCTAAATTCTACAACATTCAGAGAAGGTGTAGGCAAAGCCACAGCATCCTCTTTTAAACACCCAATGTTTAAATGCAGAGTAAGCATCAAGAGGTCAGAAAAGATTCAGTTAAAAATCCATGTAAGTTAGGAAGTTGGAAGGCACCTTTTGAGTCCCCAAACACTCAGAAAAATCAATACTAATGACTAAAAAGTTGAAACTAATTATGAGGAGGCCTCTCATCTAAGCCCTTGGAGCTGCCAGCTGGATAATCCAGGCTAAAATTCAGCTTATGCTGTTTTGCACGTGGTATTTCCTAGCTTGCGGGAGAAGGGGGGGGAAAGAAGAGGCAAAGAAAAATGAAAGGACTTTGAAATGTCTCTTACATTCTTCATTCAGGCTGAGGTTCTGCAAGGACTTGTTCAGGTTCCTGGCTGTGGTAACTGCTCGAATGTTCCCATAAGAGCTGACGGACCGCAGCCTGGGTGTACACGGGCCATCTCGCACTGGTGTCAAACTCCCACCCTCTGTGGATGCAAAACATAGCAATCAGAGATGCAACCAAAGCAACCGTAGCCTTTTGGTTATTTCTCAGCAAACATATAACGAAAATACTATCAATAGGAACAGAATTTAGCTATTGCCCTTAGGCTAAAACAGACCGAGGTACGACAAGGGAGCCTCTGTGCACACAATCGGCAAGGACCGCGCGTCTCTGCTGTTTCGCCTGTGATTTTGTCACTTCCAATAAACCCAGGTGAGCCGAGCCTTGCCAGTGCCTGCAGACCACCCCCAGAGGCAGATGACTCTTCCCTCCAGGTCGACGCTGGGCCACTGCCCAGACATTGCGCTAGGACACGCGGCTAGAGCAGATGTCATTTAGTAGGCAGCATTTGCAGGCTTCTGCCTGCTTCTGCTCATTAAAAATCCAGTAAATTTTCTCATTATAAAGACTTATCCTGACCAAATTTCAAGGCCTGGTTTCAACTCGTATTTCTCTCGTGACCTGGATGCTTATAATTTCCCAAACTGTCTCATTTTCATTCCTGAATACGCACACAGTAGCATGGCTTCAGAACAGTTTGTTTTATTTCACTGCAGAGGTGGCTGCATTATGGTGGTGGAGCCAATGCTTCCAGTGCATCCTACATATAAATGCTTCAGGATTCTTTTGGATAAGGAAAAGCACTACAGAAACTAAACGTAACGTTTATTTCCTGCAGCAAAAAGGGCAAATGTGGAGAAGCTTATTTTATTTTCCCACGTGATTTGGTTATTCAGACAACACGGAGATTAAATTACTCATTGCAGAGACAGCACGTGCTCTCGTCTCTAAGCTTCCAGTGCAACAGTCCCCTTATCCTTCGAGATTTCCAATGTACTTGGCATCTAAAGGAAACGCGAGGTGAGCAACAACTTCACTAGGCCTTTTCATTCCTCACACAAAGCAGCAGACGCAACAAAAGGGATGGGAGCGCCGGCACAGAGCACCAAGTTCTGCGCTGTTTCTTGTCTGGTGCTTTGCAGTAGCAAAGAGTTCGGTGGTGAGGCTTCCCGTTAGGTCAACACGACACTGCAGTTCCAGGTATAATTTGTGGGGGCAAAAAAGAAGCCTGGTAAGCCTGTGTACTGCCCTGACAAATATACGTCGGTCTTGATCTGAAGGGAATCCCTTTGAATGTCACGGGGTGTTCAGTCTCTACACCTTAGCTACAGCTGTGGTTTAGATGCCGGCTGAGCAGAGGACGCGTTTCTCCAGTGCAATATATCACGGTGCTAAACAGACACTGGGGCTACGCACCACGTCACTCAACTTCATAGCAACAGCGCTGCCCGACAAATGGCCGCCAGCCAGAATTCCACTGGGCTGGGCAAACGCCTTCAGTAAAAGTTCCCAAGTGCTTTCAGGCTGTACCTTTCCTGCCCACGCAAACACAAGACACTACCTGTGGCAGCTGGGGAAGGGAGAGGGTAATTCTTCTCTTCTTCCATGAACTGCAAGGCGACGGTGCAGAAGTTGCTCTCGTACTGAACCACCAGGTGACTTAAAGCCACCACCAGCTCCTACGGAAAGAGGCAGAAGGAAGAGGTGTTTCATGGTCACGTAGGTCAGAAACAACGGATCAAGGGGCAACACAGAACAACGTGGTCATTATTGTTGATGTGATTGGGTGGCCATCCAGGCTACTGATTTTCCCTTCACTTCACAGGGGTGAACTGAAGAAAGCCAGAGCACCGTTTCAAATCTAGTTCTTCGCAAGTCTTTTATACCTGAACAGGCTCCCGCTGCTCTCTGGTTCTGCCCCATATTGTCAAACGGATGCAGCGTCACAGAAAGCGCCGAGCTGGCCCCTAGCACCCAGCTCCCCTCCTCCTGTGCACGCAGCAGGCTGGCCCACGGGAAGCGCCACGAGGGAGACAAGAGGCCCCTGGGGACACGGCTCAGCTCTTCCACGAAGAGCCCGGGTGTTTGAATCCTACGCTGAGCCGCGCAGTCCAATACCGACCTGCAAAGCCAGCAGCTAACGTCAGCACGGTGCTGCCTCCCTGCGAGGGATCATCGGGCCGTTCGTTCTCATAGCTGCAGCTCGAGAACCTGAACTAACTGGGGTGGGGAGGGGAGGGAAGGTGCAGTTCAGACCCTCAGTTAGGTACCGCGTGCCAGGCACTTGGAAACAGCAAGCAGGAGAGGTGGCGAGCTGGCTTCGATTGCTGCTGCTCTCTGTCCGGGGGCCTGATCTCCACAGCAGAGATTTATGAATCTCCAAGAGCACATAGTGCGACACGCATTTCTCTCTTGAATTAAACTGATTAAATGCTGGAACAAGACCACAAAAACTAATCCTCACAATGCTGCTGACAACTGTCAGGGTACTGATGTGCCAGTTAAGCAAACGCAAAGCATTAGGACACCGAAGTACCCCCATCGGGAACAATCCGGAATGTCATAAACTGTTTCACGTACTATTGATGTATACTGGTGCATCAGAAGCTGTAATTCTCCAAAATCTGAAGAATTCCTTTGCCTGCCATCCCATCCTTGTGGTTTCTAAAAGCAGCAAGATCTTTTTCCTGAGTAGAGCTCTCCTTTTCTCCACAGCACCATTCCTCCCTCTCCTCTTCCTCCCTAGGACTGTCACATACTCCATGTTTCTAGCAACACGTTACCACTTCATTTAAAACCTGAGATCCTGTAACACGCAATTTTGCAGTCAAACCAGTAATCAACAGAAGCACATTAGCAGAAGAGCAGCCCAGCAAGAACTCGCCGTGTTCTGTGCACCCAGAAAAGACATCAGTGTAATTGCTCTCCTTCCTTATCCCTGTCTTCTCATTCTCTTTAAATTAAAAAAAACAGGATACAAGAATTCCCACAAAATCCCACGATTGTTACTCCCATTTCAGACACTTGCTCCATGGAACGCACGAGCTGAGTCAGAGGTCCAGTGTCAACCAGCAGAAGCATTTTGATCCTGTCAGCACCTGGACACGACAACAAACTACACTGGACTTGATTATTCCTGTCAGTAGGCTCCTCGTATTGCCGAGTAAAGGAAATAATAAATAATAAATAAACAAAGGCTATAATGTGGGCGTGAGAAAGGGCGAGGGGATGAAACAGCCTCCCCGAACGCTGCTGCATGTGACCACCCTGAGCCCGCGGCGCAAGGCTCCGCGCGAGCCTTCAGCCACAGCAGTGGGATCACGATGCTGCTGCTGCTGCCTTCACTGGTGTCGTCATGCGCGCGTGGTGCTTCTCAGCAGGCACGGAAGTTAAAAGCCTTCACGATGAAACATGTACTTCCAGATGAGTCAAACTCATTGAAAAGTCTATTAAATAATGCACGTGCTCATTGGGCGCAGTGCAGGACTCAGCACGAATCCACCAAACTTCCCCACCGCCGGCCCTTCCCTACCTTTCTAACCATGGGGCTCCCATCGTTGATGAGCTGGGCCAACATCATGGCTACGTTGTGATCGATGGTGGTGGAGTGATCGGTCCGTTCGGCCGAGTTGCCCACAAACGTTCCCAGCGCAAAGACTGCAGCACAGCGAACCTGCGAGAGACAAACATTCATTATTATTATTATTATTTTCCTCCTGTTTACAGCCTGAAGTTTGCCAGTGGGATTTTCTTATCCCCACAAGCAGCACCTCTGGAAACCTGGACTACCATGTCAAGTAAATAGCGAGGGCTAAACAGAAGCCCATGGAGAGTAAAAACCAAAACAGATTCAGCAAAGCCCGGAGTTTTAAATATTGGCACATGCAGCGGTACATTTAATTTCCCAGAGTACTTGGTGACCTTCCCATGGGTGATTTTTCCAGTTGATGTTGCCTAGAATATTAATTAACAGGAATAAGGTACACAGGGAATTACTGTTGGGATGCGAAAGAAGAGCGCTGAACTACAGTCGTCAGGTAAAGGCGTACGGAAAGGTAGAGGATGACGGAAAAAAGAAAAGGAGAAATGACAGTAGCTCAGATCAGGGTGAATGTGCCAGATCACACGAAGAGCAGAGGGATCAGCTGGCTCGGTAGTCTTACAGCTCGCCTTGGCAGAGGCTGCCAACGGTGGGGATACGGCGCCGTCAGCGACTGCAGGACGTGCACGAAGCAGGAACGCTCGCTCCGGCTTCTCAGGGCGGTGCGGGGGTGCGGCGAGGAGTCAGCCCGGCCCTGGCACAAATGCTGCTTATGGGCCGGGGGGAAGATGGGGCCAGAGAAAGGAGGTGGAGGATACAGGACAGAAAGACTGGATGCAAAGGGGGACCTAATCTATAATCGCCACACGTTAGCAATGGTGCTGATCTCCAGGCTTCCTTCTCCCCCGCGCGATGCGATTCCACCGGGGTCTGACAGGCTCTGTCAATCACAGCCAGGCTCTGCTTCTCTCTTGGAGTTTGTCACAAAGGTAAAACACATCCAATTAAAGCTGCGTTTTCATGTGTACCAGGAGGAGAACACTTCTCATACCCGGCCAAAACGGCTAGAGGGTTCTTTGCAACACACAGTGCGCTTGGGGACCACGTTTTTAACAAGCTTCTGATGTGCATGTAAGCAAAGCCCATGGTGTTTCCTAACGCCGGTGCCAAGATTCCAGGGCTCTGGGACTGTATGAACTCCCCCTGCATTTCTTGGGTTCCTTCTCTTGCAGGGCACAGATGATGTGCAATAAGGTCTTTTCTTTGGACCAGACACAGTCGTAAAGCTCTTGAAAGCCCTGGGTTTTTTAAAGTATTTCTGTAGCCCTCTGCCAGAATTCTGACAATTCAGCTGGCGTTTACTTAAAAAGTTGGGTTTTTACCTCTGGTATTGGATCAGAGAGGAGACTGTAGAGCTTTTCGTGAGCGCTGTCTCTCACACCACACCACCTGGCTGAGTCAAAGTTCTGCCAAATACGTCCTAAACAAATGGCCACCCACTGACGCAGAAGAGGATGTGGATCATTTAACTGCTCCAGGCAAATAGCAATCAGGTTTCCTTGAAGGCAAGCTTCCTAAAACACAAATCAATGCAATTTATTTCGGACGACAGCTTCCCACTACGCCATCAAAAAAAGAAGATTATTTCTGAAACAGACAGGAAATCAAGACAAAATAATTATTCCGTGGCTACGTACTGATTTGGTTATAACATACCCTTTGGAAGCAGCACGACGGGAAGGTCAGCTACGTGCCGCTCTAGCTAGTTAAATACTCGAGCGTTAGAAATACTTCCTGTAACGCACAAAGCCTGATTTTCCCTCACTGGAAATACTCCTTGCCCCTGTCAGAGCCCCAGGGTTTATGGCTCATTCCACAGACCCTTCCCAAGAACTTTATCACAGCCATCAAGCTTGCAGGACAGGAGTGTGGCACGATCCCTTCAGCAGCACGCCGGCGTGCCGCCTGGAGGGGCAGCTGCCGAGCGACTGGCTCCTTCACCTCCGCTCCCAAGTACGTCGTGTGTTTGCCGCACCTCCAGGTCAACTTTTCTTTTAATCCACACAAAAATAACGTAAAGCAATCTTCTATTTCATTTTTCCAGGTCAGGGTTGTGCTTTAACGCAAGGCAGGAGGCTTTTATCAAAGCGAAGGCACAATGCGGAGAAGAGGAGGAGAGAATGAAAGGGAGAAGGTCGTTGGGACTCACCTGCCCAGTGTTGTAGTTGTTAACGATTACAGCCAGGATAAAAGCAGTCATTGTCCTGTGTTCAGCCTTAAAACAACACACAACTAATGGTTATCTAGAAAACAGGCCGGAGAACAGCCAGATCCCACGCTTTCTGAAACACGAGCGTATTCTAAGCGCGGTTTGTATCACGAAAAAAGAACAAGAGAGGGGAAAGCGAGCTAGAGCTCTGTTGTCATCCAGTCCTGTCACCAGCCTCGCCTGAGACGCCCCGTCAGGCTGCCGGTACGGCCCCCCCCAACCCGCCTCCCTGTACGGCTCTGGAGGAGGCGTACGAACGCCCGCTACAGGAATCCACAGAAGACTTTTGCAGAGGGAATTAGGGAAGTTACGGCGCAGCTGGGCTGCCTCTGCCCCCGGCCCCCAGCCGCCCCAAACTCCCATCGTCACCGCTGCGTAATCTGCGCTTATAAAACCTTAAACAAGTTTGCAAATTCTTGTTCAGTTTGGCCGCCCCTACCAGGCAGCCCGGCTGGAGCACTTGTGACTCCGCCGTCCCCGGCGCCTCTCCCCAGGGGTGCAGGGGGCGCCCCAGGCGGCGGCAGGCAGCCCTGCCTTCGCACCGACCGCCTCCGGACAGCGGCAGATAAGCCAAGGCAAGGTAAGCAAACGCCGGAAGAGTCTGAATAAAGATGATTTGTCCTTACTGGCATATAAGGATCGGCCAAAACTGAAAGGAAATACTTGTGACCGTTGTCCTTCACAAGGTCAGCTTGGCACGACTGAAAAACAAGAGAAAGAAAGACACAGTGAGCACAATACCATAAAAACATTTTTTCCTCCAATGATGTACGAATATTTCGTGGCTTAATCGTTTTTCTCCAATTTCATTTTCATTTGAGATGCAACATAACCCGCAAGGCCTCCATGGGGGGCTGCAGCCCAACATCCCCGCAGCGGACGGGCCGACAGGGCAGCGCAGCGTTTGAAGCGAGGAACCCTCGGCCACCCTCCGACATGACCCGAACGGCTGAAAACGTGGCCTCCTGCTCAGGGGCAGAGTTACCTTTGGCATCTCAGTCCCACATGAAACCTTCGCCGCTATTTAAGAGCCACCAAAGGCAAAACCGAGGAGGAATCTGTTGAATTTTATTTTTTTTACATTTAACAGAGTAAAAATTATGTAAGATTAGATCTTCTAAAAGCCCCTGCTCTAATTCTCCCCTTGATTTCCGATCCCACGTCAAGGCAATTAGCTTACCGCAGATCAGGTTTGCCGGTATTGCTGCTGGCTGCCACGGCCACACGATAGCTGCTTGCGCTGCGCGTCCGGACGCAGGCGGGCACTCCCGGGCACCCAGCGCACGGCAACCGTGGGTGCTCTTGGGGTCCCCTCCTCTTCCCTCGGCTGCCCACCCCGTCTCACCCACAGGGCTGCAGAGCCAGGGAAGTTTCTGGGCGAGCCTGGTGCGTGACCCTTCTTTAATCAACCCAGCACCCCCTGTCCCTTGGTTACGGAGGTGCGGGTCGATAGCACAGCTCTCCCCGGTTCTTTCTGTGCCACCGTAGCCGATTTTGGGGCTCAGCCTGGCAGCCAGGATGGGAGAGTCTGGTGAATGTTGAAGTACCGCCTCCCACAAGCAGGACAACTCTCGGAGACTGCGGCACGCGAGAAACCGAGCACGCGTTTCTCCTGCAGTGCCCCACACCACCGAGCGACCACCAGCACACCCGTAAGGGCGGGGGGCGGCGGCGGAGTTGCTCATTCTTTACGTATTCACCCGTTCTGGTCTGCCCAATCCCCCGCCTGGGCAGGGCGAGGTTGTGGCAAGCCTTCAACTCCCCTACACACGCGAGACTGCTCGCTGTATTATTTGGCGGCGTCCTAACGCGCGCTGAAGCGGCACGACAGGAGCAGCACGATCTCCTACTACACACAACCGAAAAGCGCAGAGCAACTCCGCCGCCCTTAAGAGCCTGCGAGGGGAATAACGCCGCCTCTGCCGGGCTGGCGTCAGCAGGGGAGCGCGCGCCGCGGGTTTGCTAACGTACCAGCTCAGGCGCCAGGTTGACGTGTTAGGGTCAAACCCGAAGGATGCACACTAGGACAGCGACAATTTAAGAGAAGAAACACTGCCTCGGCCATCAGGTTCCCCCGTGACGATGGCTCTGTTGTGTGCTTCGCGCCAGGGACAGGATCATGTATTTTTTATCAGGCATAGAAGGTGGAGGGGGGAGCTAATTTGTTGAAAGGAGATGGGATGGCAAGGCAGAGATGCAAGAGAATATTTTATCATTGAAGGGAGTAAAGATGCTGGCTTTGGCAGACCAAAGAGCAGAGGGGATGGATTGATGCCAGGCTGCAGCTACCAGAGGCTTCCCTGGCTTCTGTGTAATGCTGCACAAAAACCAGGCTTCCTCGTCCCCCCTTTTCATTCTCAGTGTGAATGCTTTCTGTTCCTTACGAAAAACCACCTCTTCGCTGTAACGCAGGCACAGGCACCACCGAGGAGCAGGCTGCCCACCTCCACACTGCATTCACTGCGCCGCCGCTGCTACCCAAACACCCAGGCTCGAGGGAGGGAGGCAAGGTCTGTGAAGCCAGCACGCTGCTCCACCGCTCCCCGCCTGGATCCGGTGAACAATATGGAAAGCCAGCAGCGGTAACACCTCCTCCGCCGGGAATAAGCAGCTCCGCTTGTGAATAATAAGACAACGCGACCAAAACAAGCTGCGGGCTTGGTGTGAAAGTTCAGAGCTTACATAAAATATAAAGTTCCCAGTGCTGAGGAGGGGCTGCACAGATCTCCTCTCTCTCCTTAATATAACGTGTGCGCTGTGTAACTTATCCCTAAACTTCTCACGGGCTCCTGGAATACAGCGGCACTGCCGCAGCTCCGGGGTGTCCCGGGCCGGCAGGCTGGGGGGTGAACCCTCACCCCGCGGTGGGCAGCTTTACCGGATTGTCCCCAGGGAACACTGAACTTGGATGTCTGCATTCACCGTGAGCCGAGACCTGGCGGTCCCAGTCCTGCTGACTAAGGCACATCTGGCAGGCGAGCACATCTGGCAGGCGAGCACATCGTTTGTGCCGCTGCGCTGCTTTAAAGAGCGTGAGCAATGTTGGTTTGCTATTGCCTTCAGCCAGTTCTTTGGAGGGGTGAGGCCTCTTCTTCCCCGTCCCACTTCAGTACTATTCCCTTTTTCAGTGCCGTTTGATGTGCGGCTGGTTTTGGTCTTGCTTCAATTCCCGATTATAATCCTTATCGCGGGTGGGGGGCTTTCTTTTCTCCCCTTTAAACTCAAGTATTTAAGACTTAGTGCTGTTTACCAAACCCTATCAGTGTAGCACACAGTGAATTCCTGACCTGAGCCGTTTGCAAGCGTCACAGCCGTCCCCACAGCGCTCCTCCGCCCACCTCCGCCTGCCAGAGCCCTGCAGCAGGGAACGCGCAACCCGCGCTTGCTCCGCAGGCGGCTGTCTAGGGACGGCTTCGGGCAGAGGGCTGGAGCCCTCAATCCATGGCCTGCGGCAAATTGTCTGATTGTACATGGAATTAAAGCAGATTAATCTAAATATTCCGGTGTTTATTAGGGACACCTGTAGATCACACAGGCACAATTCCGTCTGAGCTGCGGCGCGTCTAGAGTACCACTGATTTATCCTGTAACTTTTATGACAAAACACAATTCTTCACAGCTCACCGAAGGCATCGTCCGAGCGGACGCGTGGCACGCTACACCGCTGTCTCACGGCAGAACACCCTCCTCTGCCTCCCTGCCC